GTTGCTGATGGTGGTGATGATGATGGTGATGTTGATGAAGAGGATGCCGATGATCACGATGACGAGGATGATGATGACGATGGTGATCAACACGCTGAAAAAGCGTTGTGGGTAAAGATCATGGCAACGCAAATGGTGACGATAGTCGTGGTGACGCTGACGCCGGTAGCATAGGAACAAGGATGGTGACAGGGGCCAATGTAAGGTTTAACGGGAGCGTCAGTCCCAGAGGCACTGTTGTTTAGGAAAAAGAGCCAGTCAAGGCGGACGGTCGTATTGCTGGGGCTTTGATCCGAGCGTACAGTGAAGGCTGCCTTGGGAGTTAACACTCGGGCCCATATTGAGCTTCGGGTATTCAGACAGAAATGACTTTCATCATTGGAGAAATCGTCTCTAAGAGCATCTGCGTGAAGGGTCGCAAGAGTTGAGAATGAAGGCGGCTGTCGATATACATATGCTGCCCCCTAGGAACTTCGAAACCTAACGTTTAGCCTGGATCATACACAGGCCTAAACCTAGGAGGATTGGTGGCGCTATCGCGGCACCTCGCGGTAGTTCTTCGGGGGTTAGAAAAATATGTACAGATGTATGTATGGTACCATAGCTGTGTACACATGTACCAACGTGTAAACACATGCATACATGCATGCATACATGCATACATGTCATATCTGTTCCTTTATGTACATGTACGTACACATACACATACAAAAACATATACACATACACATACAAAAACATATACATATACATACACAGACACAATGACATACGCAATGACATATATATTGAGATATACATTGACATATACATGTATATATATATGTATATGCGCATGTAGTCGTAAATGGTAGCTGGTAGCTGAATAGCACTCCTCTAGCGTTGTGACTACCGCTGCAGCTGGCAACTTATGGGGTCCTCGGGTTTGTCATCCTAAACCCTCAACCCCTAAACCCCTAAACTCTAAACCACGGGTCCTTGGGTTTGTCATCCTAAACCCTCAACCCCGAAAACCCTAAACTCTAAACCCCTTATAGATCCCCTTATGGAACCCTTATAGATCCCTTTAAAGGAACCCTAAACCCTGGGTCCTTGGGTTTGTCATCATCCTCGTCGTCTTTGGGATCGTTGTGAGCAGAACGAACGCTGCTCTTCGATCCTCGGCTTAGCTTGCAATGCGGAGGTAACTACCTATAAGTCCTGCATTACGTTAGGGTTTAGGGTGTAGGGTTTAGGGTTTAGGGTTTCGGGTTTAGGGTTGATGATATAAGTCCTGCATTACGTTAAGGACCCTGAACTATGGGAATTATTGTATATTCCGTATTATGGGTAATGCAGGATTTACGTCATCAACCGTATGAAGGCTACTGTCTGGGCAACTGTAAGAATCACTACAGGGGTTACTCTGGCGGTTGCAAGAAAGTTCAGTATTGAGTCTAGGTTCCCCATAGCCCCTTAATAATAAGGGTACCCTTTTTCCTACTGTTTGGTTTTAGTAAGGGAACCCAAAAAGAAAAAGGGCAAAAGGGTACTACTTGGGAACCTAGGAGTTAAGGCTGGTGGCGTTGGGGCATCCGGGCTCCAACGGCTTCGGGGTGTAGGGCCTTTGAGCCTCAGGACCTTAGGGTCTTAGCGTCTTAGGGTTTAACGCTTGAGGGTTCAGGGTTTAGGCTTTAAGGTTTAGGGTTCGTAAGCTGAAGGTGTCCTAGGGGCTGGTATGCTTTAGGAGAAACGAAAATATTTTGTTTCTGTCGTGTAAGGAGCAAAAGGTGTTCGTCTGGAGTACAAATGTGAAACTGTGAATCGTATGTGGTGGGGAAACATTTTATTTCGCAATGCTACGGGATTCTTTGGGTGGGTGGGTG